CTTATATATTAAATTATGCTACATTCTTCTCTCAAGAGTTCAAAACATGCTGATCCATAGGAAAAATCCACATCCAAATGCATGCATGTTTGATTAAGTTCGATTTCATTTTAATACAAACACTTCTTAACATTTCAGTCTTTTGCTGGGAGACAGAACATGAGAACTTTCTTTTTTCGTCTGTTTCCTAGCAGACCTCTGTGCATTTGCAGAATGTCTCGTAGACGCTGAGCATGTTGGGAAACAACCTTTGCTGATTTTGTGTGGCTGAGGCAAAGCCATTCCCTAAAGGCCCATCACGTGTCATCACCAGTGTCCTGAACTGATTTTCAATTTTATATAGCTGTCTTCACTTCTTTCCTTAGTGTGTGTTCAGCCACGCACATTTTTTGTGCCTTCAACTGATATCTCAAAATCTGCTTTTTTAATTCCAGGATCTAGCACTATCATCTTTTGAGGTTTGCATTAACCTTGTAGTTGTAGTGGTTTTAGTAATTTTTTCAATCTTTTAAAATGTCTGTCTGGAGGTCTGTAGCACTCATGTCCCCCTTTTAATACCTGTACTAGCATGAGTAGTAACTGAAGTAAAGTTCATTTAATACATATGTATGGAAGCTATCTGGTTATTTGCCTTTATAATTAACAAATTGTATAGCATTTTTTAAAGTTACCTTTTTTTTACTTCTGTTGTATGAAATATATTCCTCAAGAAATTAAAGATGATAAAACATAGACTTATACATCCCATTACCAACATAAGTTAGTCTACTTCACTGTTAAATGAAAATTATTGAGCACGCCTTTAGGCACTACAGATGTAATCTCTACTATAAATGTACTCATTGGTTTTTTTGTTTTGTTTTGCATTGTTTTTCTAGTACTGGGAATCAAACTCAGGACCTTGTACTTGTGGTGTCCACATAGTGCCACTGAGCTAAAACCCAAGCCCTTGTTCTGTGGTTTTATAAATCTTTTAGAAAAACCTTGCTTCTTTTTAACATAAATTCCAACATGAATCTATAAAATATATTTATTTACTATAAAGAAAATTAATAAACCCCTACTTCATTAATATGAATTTATTGTATTTATTGGCTTCCTAGTTACTTGATTCTGAATCGTGGAATTTCTCGTAGTTTTTCCTATTAAATTTGTACATTGTTTATGAAGTTCTAGAAACTAATGTTGAAAAAGAATGGAAAACGTAAGATCCTGTAGAACCTGTCCTCTTTTTATTCCTTTCTTTTTTGAATGTCATGATAAAAATATTTTAAAAGGAAATTTTGTTGCTCATATACATTAACTATACTATATATTTTATGTGTGGCTCAAGACAATTCATTTTCACTCAAAGAAGAGGGGGGCAAAAAAGCAGGCTTCATGTTGGACACACTCTAGTCCTAGTTAAGACTGTTTCAGAACTGGTCCATTTATCTCTCTCTCTCTCTCTCTCTCTCTCTCTCTCTCTCTGCATTCCTCCCTCCCCCTTCCTCTCTTACTTTGTTCGGTTATTTTTGGTGGAACTGTTAGCTTGACAGTCCAAGTGAGGGCCAGCTCCCTGCCCTTGCCCTCTTAAAGTGCCACTAGTTCCTTGCCAAGCCCTCCTCACAAAATGCTCCCCTCCTCTGACTCATGAGACTTGTGAGGCCTCTTTGGTTTAAGAGTCTACTCATTCTCAACCACAGATGTCTACTCTCTAATTCATTTGGGAATATAGCATATTTATCTTCATCCCCAATCAAAACTAAAATCTTTTGAACCCATTGAAAATATTTTGTTTCATTTAAAATACTCATTAAATGTTTAATATCATTCATGTAAGCAATGACTTATGGCTCTATCTAAATCTGTATGCTCTTTTCTCCTAGATGTATTTTCTCAACTGTCAGATAAAGGCAGAAAAAGTTGAAACAAGGACTTATATTTTTACTGAATTATCCTTAACATTGCATAACATGCCCATAAGCCAAATATTGATGTAAATCTAATATTTAAACCTTTTCATTGTCTTTAGGCTTATTTCATCTTACACTTTGGTACTCAGGATACTACTATATGAGTGGTGATCCATTCTCATAGTTTATCCCCTCTTCATTTTTATCTTCTTGTCTTAGGCCCCAAGTCAAGTGTTCTTGGACCCACACTGAATTATTTTGCTAAACTCATATTTTCTTCTTCATTGAAATATGTTACTCTCCAATCAGTGTTGGAGACCTGACAGCCATTTAATATTAAAGAAACCAGTTATTTCAAAATGTCATAGTATATAATAATACTTCTACCTTTTCTGAAGTGTTTGAAATGTAATTTTCCATTACCTAGTATCTAAGATATAAAACTAGATATGAAAATAGTTGTTACATTTCTTTACAATGTTTTCTAATTGACAAACTATTATTTATTAATGAATTTCACTTTTAGCTTCATATTGAACATATTACCTAATATATTACAATAAAATCCTACAATATATTTATTTACAGGATAAGATTCAACTGAAATTTATGATAATGTCAATATTCTCAGAAGAAAAATATCTATTGATATTTACATAAGCATTAAGCACAAATGAGATTTTGTTTTCAAAACATTTTCTAGTATAATGTTCTATTTGGAGGCACATTAATTACTCCCATGTTAATTATTATAATTTGACTTTAAAGTTAAACAAGAAATTAAATGAAATCCTTCTAAAATTTAATTTATTCTTGAGTATCATTATTTGTGAGCTTCAGAAAAGAGATGATTAATAAAGACTATTTTGCAATAAATCTTCATTATCCTCATATGTAAATATCACCACTTGGCTTAGTACACTTATGAGGTTAATGATAATAAATGAACTCCAAATTTCACAGATAACTAATATATCTCTCTTCTGGATCCTTACATGGATATAGCCATTATTGGTCATGTTTTTTATAAATTTCTTAATATAAATAATAGAACAGTAAGTATAATGGCCTTCTCACATATTTTACAAACTAGAGAATTTAAAGTCAGGAATGTAAACTGTTAGGCATATTTTAAATATGGTGGTTGATTTATTTTGCTACCTACAAGAAGTCTCTGTACCTTTCAGTACTGTCAAGAAAGCAGAACTGCTTGAGATATGAAAGTCTGTTGGCTTTTGTGTGTTTGGTGACATTAGATCTAAAGGGGTGGGGGGATGAAGTAGAAAGCCTCAGAGCTGTGTAAGATACATTTAGCAGTCTTACTCAGTGTGAAGTCTCAGTGGGATTTCCAGCAATGTTCAGCATGGAAGGTCATAGATAAAAATTTCATAATAAAATTTTCAACTCAGAAAATAGTCCTCTGCATAATCTATCCTCAAATAGTGCACTAAATACAAATAACTTGTTGCTTAGTTCACAGGTTCCTGTATTACTGGTATCTACTTGGATATTCAAATATCTGTTTATGGAAAATAAATGTGATAATGACTGATAACCACAGAAACTTCTGACCTTTATTTAATAAGTTGTTTTAGATGTTTATTTTATTTTTATTTATTTATTTTGCTACCAGGGATCAAACTCTGGGACCTTGCGCCTGTGAGGCAGGCGGCAGAACCACTGAGCTAAATCTCCACCCTAGATGCTTATTTTAAACTTTGAGTTATCCTAAGCAATCCAATTTGACAATTTAAAATAGCATTCATTTTCTGATTCTAACTACTCATTAAGCATTACAATGCATCTAAAAAGAAAGAAAAGGAACAAAAGAGTCACATACTTATGAAAATTAAATAATCACCATCTGAAGACAGTGAACATGCATATATAGGTGGAGTTATGCAAAAGTTATGTAATTCTACTGCATTACACTTTAAAGTGCTACCTACGGAAAGATAGTGTCAGTTAAATAAAACCATGAATGATTTGAAATCCCTTGTATATTATTGATCATAGCACCCCTTGTCATCTCCAAATAATAAAGCAATAAAAAATAAAAGTGAGGTAGATAAAAACTAATGGATAAAAGTTAAAGAAAACCACAAAGTGGATTCCTCATAATGTGATTTACTTTGTTTTATTCAATAAAAAAAGATAAATATTTTTAGCCAATGCCATTTATTACTTTACTCATTAACATATTAAAAATGCTTGGTGAGCTTGTAGCACATGGCTCACAAACTCTGCTACCTAAATAATACAATAAAAGTAAATTTTAAGGGATTAGAGGCAATCATTCCATGTTTATTATTTAATATCTTCTCACCAGTTATCTCTTCTGTCCAAGTAGTTGAAAAATCATGATTGGGTTTGGCCCAAATAGGTGTTTCTGCAAAGAGGAGAATACTTACAAATGTAAAAAGCTAACAAGCTACCAAGATTCCTATTTCGAATGTTTACACCCATATTACATAAGATGCACATTGATTACATAAGATGCACATCTGTGGCCTCACCTAGTCAAACCCTTGTTAGTTGCTTTCTGTTTATCATCTGCCACAAACTCTTGTTGTTATGTAGTTGATCAGAAAAGTTAGGTCCACCCTCTGTATAACTCTGTTCACTTTCGGTTGTGTTTCCCTGCTAACAGCATTGTTTACATTTATATTTGTTTAAATACTTGACCTTTACATGAAAATGAAAGCCAAGAAGATAAACTTATTCAGTAGCACCATGGATATACTTCCTAGATTGAGGTGTATCTTTTAACATTTTCTGTGAGTCCAATAGAATCTTTTATCTGGGTAAAAGTGTGAAGCTGAGCCGTAAATATTGCAGATGAGGACTAGATTCACTTTCAGAAAACTTTTTCTGGAGCAGAAAAACGAGAATAA